ATAAAAATCGGAAATGCCAGAGATCAAATTAGAAACCCTAGAAGAGATCGAAGAAATGCCAGAGTCCTAATGCACAGCCACCACCATTTCTCCGATTCCCTCCTCCTCCTCGTCTTCTCCAAGCTTCCCATTTCTCACCACCTCCTCACTTCCCTCGTCTGCAAACGCTGGCTCTATCTCCATGGCCGCTTGCTGCGATCTCTCAAGCTCCTCGACTGGCACTTTCTCCACTCTGGTCGCCTATTCGCACGCTTTCCTCACCTTACCGAAATTGACATCCTCCGTTCCTGCATTCGCCTCGCGCCCAATTCCAATTCCGGGGCTTTCTTGACCCTTAAGCCCTTCTCTCTTCCTATCAGTTGTTCGCATCACCACGACGGCTCTTTTGATATCTTGCCACCGGATAGGATTTATCGAGGGCTCAAATTGATCGCCCAAAAGTATCCGAATTTGAGGAGAATTGCTGTTTTCGGTGCGAGCGAGCATGGGCTAGCCAGCCTAGCCGGCACGTGTCAGACATTACAGGAGCTGGAGCTCCATCGTTGCGGAGATTTGTCCTTGAAGGGTCTCTCAGGATGTACCAACTTGCAGGTAATGAAATTGACTGCAAGGATTGATGGTTTTTTCACTTGTGTGGTGTCCGACATCGGGCTAACCATTTTGGCACAAGGTTGCAAGAGATTAGTGAAGCTTCAACTGTGTGCTTGTGAAGGAAGCTATGATGGGATCAAAGCAATCGGGCAGTGCTGCCAAATGCTCGAGGAGTTGACTTTTCAAGACCATAGGATGGATGGTGGGTGGTTGGCTGCTCTGTCTTTTTGCGCAAATTTGAAGACTTTGAGGCTTCAGTCTTGCAAGGCCATCGATTCTAATCCTGGACTCGATGAGCATTTGGGAGTGTGTCCTATGCTCCAGGAGTTGCATCTGGAACGGTGTCAGTTGAGGGATAAGAAGAGCACAAAATCTCTATTTCTGGTTTGCGCGGATGTTAGGGATATTGTGCTGCGTAACTGCTGGGGTTTTGAAGATGATTTCTTTGTCTTAGCCTCACTCTGTAGGTAAGGAAACGATCCCTTTTTCCTTCTAGATTGCTCTGCTATAAGAAGCTAATGTTCCCCAAGAGATTGCTACTATGGCTTATTAGCTTTTAGGCAAATTCCAAGTTTTCTGATTCTCGTTTGGTGACACTCTCTGTCCCTCTCCCACGGCAACAATATCTTATTTCTTGTTTATGCGTCTTATTCTGATGAAAAGGTGCGTCTTTGTCAGGAGTGTGAAGCTACTTTATCTTGACCATTGCTCATTGCTGACGACAGGAGGTCTAGAATCAGTACTTCTTTCATGGAAGGATCTTCAAAGACTAATCGTAGTTTCGTGTCGTAAGATAAAAGACAGCGAAGTAACTCCACAGCTTGCTTCTCTCTTCTCCGTGCTGAAAGAGCTCAAATGGAGACCCGATACAAGATCTTTGCTGTCATCAGATCTTGAGGGCATCGGGATGTGGAGAAAAGGCGGTAAATTTTTTACCAGTTTAAAGGGCTGAAGGTGAAACAACAATTTGTGAGGCTGAAAGAGGTCGGCATAGGAATAGTGTTGTTACTGAACAATGCATCTCCTTGTCACCTTCCTTGTTGTAAATTCGATAACTCTGGTATGCCTTGTATTTTGAAGGCATTCATACGGGTTAACTAGCTTCTCTTAGTGTACACTTATACTGTAGTTGATGAAAGCTTAAAGATACTGAATAAGCACATGAAGAGAATAAAACATATTAGTTCCAGAAACATCTTGCAGTATCGGCAGGTCATTTTGCCTTTGTGGTATTTCGTATTTTTGGTTTCTTTCGACTGTGCAGGTTGAAGCTGAGATAGAGAGCAGCTGGCCATGAGTGAGTTTCCACTCTTGCGTTTAGACCCTTGATAATCCAGTGATGCATGTGAATTACTTGTAAGCATTGATAATCCACTAATGAATGTATTGGCTTGTTGATACACGTACTATATATAGTACAGTTTTGTTTATTTTCTTTTCAAACGTAACCGCTTTTTCCAAAAGTTGCAAAGGAAGGTCAGTAGAGAGTTTACCAGCAAGGATGGTTAAACAAACATATTACAGTTACATGTTTGGAAACAAAACTAACACCTTATTCTATGACTTTACATCATCTAAAGCCAAAACTAACACCTTATTCTATTACACATATACATCTAGTTGTTGTGTACAAGGGATGAGAGTGGAGACCATACCCTCATCCACCGGCTTCTGACAACCACAGGATCTGGCCACCGATTCAAACAGTTTCTCAATTTCTGGTGCACATCTTACAAACCCGTATTCCCAAAACCCATATCTTGGATTCTTGATGAGCTCAATGAGCGTGATGAGGAGCCCCCATGGATGCGGCCGGTTCACGATTAGGCGTTCTAGCAACACTCTTGTTATCTGCTCCTTAATGATTTCCTACACCATTGAGTACGACAAACATGATGATGGCATTTGGAAAGTGTTTCCTAGCAACAGTGACTGTCTTATATCTCTAGCTACGGATCTCACCTGATCAGATTCAGAAAACAGATATAGCATGATGTAGGAGAAGTAATGTGTGTGGCTGTTGGGATAACGTAGCTGATTAGCGACTGCATTAAGCAGGATGTAACGTCCTTCTGTGTCAAGTTCCCCGCTTAAGAACTTGAACATCTGCAAGGCGGCAATATTTGCATTCCACTGAGCCTCAGACACGCCTGCCTGTAGCTGCTGAATAGCCTGTAAAAGAAGTCCCCACCATCCATACATGAGTTCCTTTCCAAAATCCCCACGGAAATAGATGTGTCCATCTTAAATGTAAAAGTAGCATACCTGCAGTCCAGCATAGAGGACAAGTGAGTTGACCAATGGTACACTGTATCTAGTGCCAGCTGAATTAGCCTCACTGGTCGGCAAAAGTAGCCTCTGCTTCAGTTGATTTAGGAAACTAGAATCATGTTGCATCATCTGCAGAAATCATGAGCATCATCAATCAATAATGCAAATTGATATCTGCAGAACAAGTACTGAAACTCTTTGACTCCCAGCAAAAAGTAAATACTGAGGGCTAACTCAAACGGAAAAACACAAAGGCTTATTCTTACCGAAAGATACTCATCCAATTCGCCCTTCATTTGCTTTTCTTTCAGTGCAGCATCAACCTCAGAAAGGATACAGGGAGCTTCAACTATCTCAGGCAGTAGATCAATCTGCAGTCAACACATACTCAGTCTGCAAGACCATGAAACATATTCCAGTTTCGAAAACGAACATGATGAACTGTCAACTATAATTTTGAACCTTTAAGTCTGGAGTAGACGGATCTGGAAGCCTCATATTCCGCGGAAAAGAACTGAGAACGATGTTCCGCATTTGTATGCAGCTTGCAGGAATCACATCGCAGAAAGTAAAATGATAATCACTGAGAAACTCCGGGTAGTCATGAAGCAGCACCAGCAAGAGTTTCAGTGTCCCTTTGTATAGACAATGAACCTACGTGATTGTTAAACCAAAGAAACAAGGCCATCTTTCATGTTCTGATATTAGTAGTACTGCAATTTCTCTTAGTTCTACTTTAAACGACAGAGAAGGGCACAAACCGGTCCTCTTAGTTCAGCATTTCTTAAAAAAGGCTCAAGAAACTGAAGCAAATCCACCAGCAGGCGTTGAACATAAGGCCAACCCTTCTGACCATTTAGAGAAAGTAGTTTGGGCATGAAGCTTCTGTGGCTAACCAGTTCAAGCCATGCAAAGCTGGAAATTCCAAAACAACTTAGTGAACCAGTAAAAGCAAATGAAAAGTGTGATCACCAAATGAATGGAAGACCATGGGCCAGCAAAACAACTCTAGTGCTTGTAAATTGGTTTAATTAAAATGCTAGAAGAGAAAAAACATGTCCAAACCTGAATGCAGGAATTTTAAGAGGCTGCAGCGCATGAAATGCATCTGCAAAATATATGAGAACCTGCGAAAACAGATGTATATTAGTATAAATTTAGATAGCAACAACTTTACAGACACAATCAGACGCACCTGACAGTTTGCACCATCAGTCACAGTGTCCAAGGAACACAAGTCCAGCAGAAAGTTGATAAACAGTCTGAAATATGCTCTTGGATTAAGTGATGTCTTTTTATCATCTGCATCCTTAAACATAGATCTCACAGTGGCAGTCATAATCTGCAGGCAGCAATAATGTCAAAGCCATTCCAATAATAAAAGAAATGAGCATTGCCTAACCTTCGAAAGAACCAAGGACTTCCAGCTAGACTCCTGCTGAGGGAAATACTGTAGAAAAGCAAAATAGTGCTTAGCCAGGCAACGAATTTCGGAAAATTAAACCCAGTGGAATGCAATGAATAGTCAACAAAATTTACATTCAATATTGAAAACACAAGCTTGGCATAGATATCGATGACAGCATATGGTGAATTCTGAACTTGCTGAGAAGATTCCGGCACACCAGAATTAATTTCCTCGGTTGGTGTGCAATGAACAACAGAATGTTCCTACGAAAACAGAGAACCTAACTCAATAACTTCCTCTTGTATATTTTCATGTGTTATGCTGAAAATGTTCACTGCTAACTGACAGTAAGAATGCGGAAAAAACTCTCTGTAATAGCATCCCCCTTCAGAAATCTACTTTGATGCAAATGCAAGACAAAGCTGACACATGCGGAATCATTTTCCCCAGGCAGTTCGCAGATCTGATACCATTCAGCAAAAATCATGGATACCTGCGTCACACAGACAGACACAACACTAGATATAAATACACCTTGAAACGAGTCTCAAATAAAAAGATGTGTATGTAGAGAGAGACTATAAGTATCATGTCTTCTTACGGAAAACAAAGGGATAATCCACAACAATGAAATGGATAACTAAAAGTTTCTTGTGCAACTTGCAAGCAATAGGTAAATTTTACAAAGGCGTTCATATTGACTGATATAAGAACCAATATTTCTCCATTATGACGTATTATAAACTAGTAACATGCAGTCAACTTGCCTGCCTCTGGAAACCATCAGGATCTAGTTCCAAAAACCCAACATCACCAATTGAGCTTGAAGTAGCAGATAAACTATGTGAGGTTTGGCTAGACTGCCTTGGCNATGAAAGTTGAGCAAAGTTCTGAAATAGTCATACAAAGACCAGTTTATACTCCAGACAACTGCCCAGTGCCCACAGTTGTTCAAAAGGTAAAAACGGGAAAGAGTGAAAGAAAACTGCAAACTAAAAAGGAGCACCTCATAAACCTGTTGCAGAGACAGGGATAGGCGTCCAGGTTTTGGCCTGGGGGATTCAGGTATTAAACTGATAGAGTCATAAACGGAGGTTTCAACACCATCTATTTGCTTTTTTCGTAACAACAATTGTTGAGCAATATCCGCATCAATAGCTTGTATTGCCTGCACGACAAACACAGACATATGAATAGATATTGTTGTATTTCATGAAAACCAATAAAGAAATAAAGTGAAGCCTAATACTAGACCAGAGTTAACAACACAATAATTGCCAAAGAGAACTCTTCTGGATGAAAAAAATAGTGAAGCTTGCAACAGAATTGCATTTGGTTATACTCTAAACATATTCCTAGGTATTTTTTCAATCAAGAACTAAAAAGCTGAAACGGCCTAGGTATTTTTTTCAATCAAGAACTAAAACGCTGAAACGGCGATAGAAAGATGTTTTAGAAGTGCAGTTGCAGCATGTAAGAATTTAAAACAGACAAACCTCCTCTGTAGCCGCCTCTTTGATGGCAGCACAAGCCAGGTCGAGGTTGTCATTTGTGATAAGTTGCACAACTTTTTCAAGGGAATCAGTCGAAATATGTAAACTCTGAAGTGAAATTTGTAAATGAACCAGTATAGAAGTGTGCAAGGGTTCCTAAATTAACATAGGAAAAACAATCAGAAGAGAAAAGATGTCCAGTTCGTCTAGTTTAAAACAACAAAGAGAATGTAGGTTGAATGTGAACGAAATATAAGAGCCAAAAAACAAGTACACAAGACGCAAAACCTTGCATGTCACATGAGCCAAATTTCCAGCCAAGCTAGCAACCATCAAGCGAGCTGCATTATATATACGTGACTCATCTGGTTCCAAGGCATAATCCTTAAATACAAAAAGAGTAAGAGTTATATCCATGATCCAACAAAAACCTAGATATTTTATCAAAACGCAAATAGATAAGAAAGAGATATAACAAATACTCACAAAAAATGGCATACACAAAACTTTAGAAAAGGAACAATCGAAGATAAAAATGAGTGAGAACTACAGATAAAAGTGCAGAGAGATAAATACAATAAATTGACCAGGGTTATGCGAAGAAAATAAAAATAGAATAAAAGTTTAGTATAGCCAACCTTCAACACAAGCTCCTTTGTTGTTTGGCATGCGATATAAACGCACAGTAGAACAAAACCAGACGCAATCTCCTTGATAGCTCGTTCCATAGCAAGCGACACCACCCTGATAATAGAAAGAAGTTAAAGATGTAAATGAAAGCCCCCAGTGTGCTACAAACTAAATGAATAGAACATCAGTCAACAACCTCTGAAAGGGAACCTGCATACTGAAAGCGCTTAACTTCTGATTGATAATAACAGGATTTACAATGTTGGGAAATGCTGCTGAGCGCTGTGCACCAGGAGATTAACAGAATAAGTATCTGCAATAACTAAAACGGCATAATAGTCCAACTACAGAAAGTGACGCCAGAATAAACCTCTGACAAAGAATTTGAATGGCCGCCTGCATTGCTAGGCAGCTCTAGTTGGTTATGAGACAGATTTTCAGATTTAAATTCATCAATCATCGGTGGTTGAGATCCTTGTGCCACTCCAAAATCCTTGTCCCTAAAATCAGGATTTCCCTCCATTTCTCTCTTCCGGTCCTCAAGAAGGGAAGTTGCTTTTACATCTTTGATGTCAACCCCAAGGTTCTTAAAAAAAATCTGAAAAGTGAAGAGGAATAAGAACAAAATAATGATTGCACGAAGAAAACTAATAGAAATGAAAAAAAACTCGTTTATACATAGGTGGGACATTGGTCATCTTTTTAAAATCCTCTTCTTATACTACATACCTCTATGTCAAACTTCAGATTCATTTTAAGGTTTGGCATTGAATAAACCTCTGATAGCAAACCTAGTATACACATAGTCCATGGATTCGGAGGTTGATATGCAATACTTCTTTGGCATGGTTCCAAAACCTGCGGTACCATAACTTAGAAGTCAGCCTACAATCATAAAACAGCTAGTGGTATGGGTTAACCCTTACAAACCTTTGAAGTGAACGGAATGATGGCAATCAACAGCCCCTTTTCATATGCCTGCAAAAAGAGAAAATAAAGTCCAGCATCAACAAAATAACAAGATGATCACAAAGAATAAGAACCAAAAGAGTGAAAGAAACAGCACAAAATTACATCAATTATCAGAGATTTCAGATCTATTTCACGAGCCTTTAATACGTGATCTCGCCCAATGGTCAGCTTCCCAAGCCAGCTGCCTAAGTTTTTAAGCAAGGACCGCTCTTCTGAACTAGACTTTATGAGCTCTGAACCTAAAAGCACCTGAAAAACCAAAATAATTACGGAAGACACAAACTTATCAACAATTTAATAAAGACACACACAGCAAACCACTGAATATTACCTTGCAGTTTTCATAGGTAGCTTGGATTATCTCCTTGTACAGTAGCTGAGAATTAACTTTGGCCAAGAACTTCAAGTACAAGTCATGAAACTTCCCCTCGATACTCGCTCTGTCATGAATTTAACACAAGCAGGAAAAGCAATGAGAAGAGAACGGAAAAATCTCTTATCACTTGCACACATAGAGCACGACTACAAATACCTTTTCATGACCATATACTGTGCAAACCAAGGATAGTACTGAGTAGACAAAATTTCAGTAAATTCTTTCCCTTTAGAGTCAATATTTGTTGCTGAGACATTATTTATTATGAAAGAAATTTTGTCCTGAACTTCTGAAGGTGGAGCCTGGATAAAACAGAAAATGGTCATTACTTTTCAACGTAGAAATAAACAACGGACACTTTCCACATTGATCTTCATGAAGAAATATAACCTAAGCCCATATGCTTTTCGAGTTTTCCAAGTACAACATAGCACATTACCTCTATTAGACTCTCCTTTCTCCCTGCTGCAGCAACCAGGGTGTCTATGTTCAAACCAAACCCCTGAAAGCGGTTTATAAGATTATATGTTCAATGCCAACACCATATTACAAGAAGCATAGTCTTTGCGAAAATGGCCACAGAGCTAAGTGAGAAAAGCATGGAACCAAAAGTATCAGGAACGACATCCAAATTGTCTTTCCCCTTCTCAATAATTGGGGATGTGATTGAGAATAAATTTCTGGTCAAAACGAGCCTTTCCTCACACTGAACTTATCAACAATTACCAGAATAGCTAGGAAATAGACAAAAGAGAAAAGTTCGAGTAGTATAGGCGCAGAAGAAAACTATAATCACAGTTTATTACCTCGCCACTTCCAGGGAAAAACTGAGAGGGGCCAGGCTGAGGAACAGAATCGTCTGATTCTAATTGACCAGATGATATTCTTGAAAGTGTTTGCTCAACGACGGCAACTAGCTCTGGGTGCGTGCTACGCAGATGAGATATTAACAAGATATGGCTGCAATACTGACGCAATTCGATACTATTCACAAATTGTTCCAAAGCTATTGTTCCAAACAAATACATCTGCATGAATCACGGAACGATGTCAGATATTTCACAGTAAGACGCCTGCAGAACAGAAATAACTCTCAAAAGAATCCATACTTTTGAATCTGAAGGCTTACGCAACGAATCCAGGACTGCACGCAGGGCAACCCTCAGAGTGAGTGAACTTATAAGCTGGTGCTTGATAACAGAACCTGAATATTTTGTATGAGAGCCACAGCAGATTGGAAAAATGTAAACAGAAAGAACATCACAATTTTAAATGGAACATTCAAACAATGTCATCTGAACTATATAAGCACAACCTTTGCAGATCTTAACTTCCTTAATCAGGGTATCATTATGAAATACCACTTCCTTGAGTGTTAAACTAGCAGAGAAGACTGAGTGACTCAATTCTAGGACACTAACATCTGTTGAGAAGTATACATACAAACCGGGACCCTAAACAGTATCATATATCCCTCTAATATATCAAAGTAAAATATGTAACAGAAGTCTACTCACCAAAGAGGATGGCAGCTATTTTCAGCTGTCTTTCAGGATAGTCGAGGTGAATCTTATATTCCTCGAACAGATTAGCAATCATGCATTCAAAAATTAATGTTTCCCTGTCAAACAGATAAAAATAAAACTGTGATGTTCTTAGTCCAAGAGTAACTAGCCAACATGAACCCTGAAACTGAGTAACCCAGACATGCATATCTGCCAACATCTTACCTTTTAATCGAAGAGTCCTTGTATCGTGAAAGCATTTTAACCATCGCATCAACACTCAACTGACCCGAAAACAATCTATGGAAATAAGAATTTGCTTCTTCCTTGACATCATCCGCATATGCATTGGAAACTGATGAATTTTCAGTCTCATCCTCCAGCAACTTCGAATTACAATCCAAAGTTGCTGGATGAACCTTTTCTATTTCTTCAAACAGTCTAGGTGATGTAATTACATTAATATGCGGTTTCAAAACCTGCAAAACATCTTCAAAAAGTTAAAACTCATAAGTATGATAGACGAGCATTATGAAACCAAGAGGGAGAAACTAACTTTTAAAAACAAAGAAGTTGCATCCAAATAAAGATTTGATATAGGATCAGAAGAATGGAGCTGTTCAGAGGAAATATCCTTCGATTCACCATAATTAGCGTCCTTGATAACCTTGAAGCACTCCTAAAATAATGAAGCATGGATTTATAATGTTTGACCCATTCTCATTTACAGAGAAAACCATAAGCTAGTAAAAAAGGAATATGCTACCTCAAAGAAGACATCCTTGTACAAAAAAAGGCAGTCTGACAACCATTTCTCAATCTCCAAAAACCCTTTGTGTGAGGCAAGGATTGCCAATCTGATGCCAAATGACAGTGGAACTGATTCTATAACTGCAGAGAGAATCTGAAATGAAAAATGTGCAAATGATTAGTTGATAGACATAGAGAAACTGAATTAAAAATAAAATTAAAAAAAAACAGTTAAAAGGAGATAAATACAGTGGCTTCTCCAAAATACTTATGGGATTCAAACCGAATAACTCAATTTGGCCTATTTTTACCTCAAGCTCATGACAGATTTTGATTATTCTGAACATGCTGTCTGGTCCAAGATTTTGGGCATCTAAAAGACCCCAAATAACGAGCTCTCTATTCAGCTGCCAGAGATTAAGGAAAAAACCACTATCCAGGGTATTCTTTATCATCCCGGGAAGTATAGCAGAGACTACTTCCCGCTGAATGACATTATAAGCAGTCTGCAACAGCATGAGTCATATACTCAGCCCAACACAAACAGAAAAAACATACATCACCAAAGAATACATTCCGAGAATTACTTTGATATGAGCCATCCCAAAAAGTAAGGTTCTGGGACAATGGGCCAGTGGATACTGGAGCAATGAACGAACTGAAACAGTAAGCCCCCTCTCAGCCAGTTGGCATAGCACATCTAAGAGATCAAGAGACAGCCATGCATGATTGGAAAGTCCTAATTGCTCATGGCTGTGCATGTTATCAATATACGCCTGAAGAAAGAACAGCTACTCAGAATAATAACAGTTTATTGGAGAAGAACAGGTCCAACACGGATGACAAATCTCACCAGCTTCCTCCCAGAATGCACAAAGGTGAATAGTTCTGGCGGTGCTAAAACTGCATGCTTAAGAAAAGATAATTGACCCTCCATATTTTTCCAGACAAAAGAGCAAATGGCATGAAGCGGAAATGGGTCCTGTGGAATTAGTTTTATATCCTCAAACAGCAACAGAAGCTAAAATCAAGAAATCATATAAAAAAAATTAAGATAATCCAGTTTGAAAGCACACCTTGCAGATATTTCTCACTACCATCATGAAAAACGAGAAAGCGTCCATGTTAGGGATATCAAATCCTTCATGATCCATATTCTCAATGACTTTCACCAAGCTTGCGCCAGGAGCCTGCATTAGCATACAATAATAAAAAAAATAACACTGAAATAAAGAAGAACACAAATCATTTGACAGCAGACCATACGTGCACTATTCAGAAGAAAAAATAGTGAAGAAACACTTAAATTAAGTATTAAAGCTAAAACTGTGATTGATAAGAGAAAGAACTAAGGTTTTTAGAACTTACAAGCTGCTTGATTATTTCAAAAAGGATACATTCCATGACCTTAGGTGGGAAGTTCAATTGGGGTATAGCAACCAAGGGACAATCTGAATGTTGAGAAGGTGTTGTCGTTATCTTCATGACCAGCGTACGTACGAACTAAAACGACAAGAATTCTCGAGATAGCAGCCTCTGTTAAAGGTAAGAAGAGGGACAAGATCTCTTTGCATACTGAAGCATCAGCGGTGGATCCATAACCTAATTCTTCTATGAGATCTCCTACATTGATCTCCTTCTCAGTTTCAGTTAAGATAGCATCAAAGTTAGTTATAAGAAGGAAATCCATGCTCCTACAGCAAAAGAGGGAAACATTGAGAGTCACAATCTGTGCAGCACAGAGATCGCAAAACAGATAGCACAAAATGAAATGATAACCTGAACCTGAAAACATCAGCTTCGTGCACTCCCACTGAAAGGATAGGCTTGAGAAGAAGTTGTAGGTCGTCACTTGATTGAGAGGAAGAAAAAATCTGTTTAAAGGAATCTAAATGCTTTGAGAGGTCCTCAGAAAGCCAAAGAAAGAGAAGAATATTTTGGATGTGCTCTGCCTCTGCTGAATCCATCGGGACAGGATTGGCACAGAGTCTCTCAATCTCAGCCATACAAAAATTGCGTCAAACAAAAGAATGAAAAAAAAGTATCATCAAACAGATATACCTAAATGATGGAAGAACCCAGCACACTGCATAGATTAGTCTTACCACTAGTGCTTGCATCTGATCTTTCAGAATAAGTGAGGGACATGCTAAATCTAATTTTCTCCGAGGTTGACAAGTGCAATGAAGCTGTAAGATCATTCAAAAACTCTGGAGTGACGGCCTCAACATCGTTGAGTGCGTGCAAAAGCAGGGTTCCGAAATTTGGTTTTTCCAAGACACGTTTTAACACCAAGGACACTACTTGATCAAGTTGCAATGTATTTGTCTGGCTTTTCCGGTAGGTGAGGAAAGAGTCTAGGCAGGTCTTGAGAAGGCAAATACTAGATTCAACTCCAAATTCAAAGAACTGCGAGCGTAAACAGACCCATCATATAAATAACCCCATTTTCTCAGTAGCATTTCATAACAGTAGTCAAAACGGAGGGAGGGAACCGTACAGGATAAGCCATGAAGATGTGAAAACCATAAAGCATACATAATCAAACCAGAGAAGAGAGTAGTAATCTGAGGGGAGAGAGTGGAGTACCTGGCAAATCTCTTGGGCGAGAGAGCGATAGTCGGAATCGTCGAATTCCATGAGCAAGAAGCGGACATGGGCGGCGATCTTGGACGGAGAGATAATCATGGCAGCGATCAAATTGGAACTCGAACAAGATCGATCGAGAATAGGGATGGTTTGCGAATTGCGATGATGATATACAATTTTCCGATCCTTGCTTGTGTCGCAGTCGAAATTGCATGACATTCTAGTGGGCTTTAAATTGGGCCAAATAAGCCCATTTAAAAACACGAAGTGAAGGTAAGATCAGAGCTCAATTCGCAGCAAACATGGCGCTCGCGCTCCTCCTCCCAGTCCCAGCAGCATCTCCTCCGCTCCGCAGCCGTCGTACAATCCGTTCGATCTTCGCGAATCCTGCACGGCGAGCCAAACGGAACCTGCTGGAGCTCATCTCCGACCAGGATCGAGGTCTCAGGACCCAGAAAGACGCCGCGAAGCGAGACGCAATCGTGAACGCCATCGAGTCCATGGCGAGTAGCGCCGTCACGACAGGCGAGTCTCTCTCCGGCACTTGGAGACTCATGTGGACGACGGAGAAGGAACAGCTGTTCATCATAGAGAAGGCGGGGCTGTTTGGGACGAGCGCCGGAGACGTTCTTCAGGTGATCGATGTGGAGAAGAGGAAGCTCAACAACGTCATCACTTTCCCTCCTCACGGCGTTTTCTTCGTCCGCTCTGATATCGATATCGCTTCCCCGCAGAGAGTCAATTTCAGGTTCCATTTCATTTCATTTTTGCGAATCAGAAACAAACTCAGATTTGATGATTATTTGCGTTTTGATATCAGATTCAGTAGTGCGGTGTTGAGAGGAAGGAATTGGGAGATCCCACTGCCACCATTTGGGCAGGGCTGGTGAGTGAGTTCTCTCATACTCTTCTTGTTTCTTAATTTGGTATCAGACTGGATGGTGAGATCAAATTGTGGGTTTCCTTAGGTTTGAAAATGTGTATTTGGATGATGAGATCAGAGTGGCCAAGGACATCAGAGGAGACTACTTAATTGTTGACCGTGCTCCTTATGACTGGAAAGAATGATTTTCTTTCTTTCTTTTCTTGTATAAACCTCTAAGTTTCTTTGTATATTGTAAACACCATTTCCATCTCTCTCTCTCAGATAATATCAAGGATCATTCAAAGTGTGTCCCTTGAGTTTATTCAGGGTTTCTGTCTGTGTTTGTTACAAACACACCCACCCACGTTTTCTAAGCCCTTTTTCTCTTATCATTCACAATCCATTACTTAACCTCTCTGTGTCTTTGTTTTGCTCTACACCTGAAAAAGATGTTGGCGTCCGCAAGGGTAGAGGAGCAGAAGCAAACAAGGCGTGTTGCAAATCCGGGCAAGGCAACACTGCTTGCTCTTGGTAAGGCCTTCCCGGCCAATGTTGTTTCCCAGGACAATCTCGTCGAGGAGTATCTCCGCGAAATCAAATGCGATGACCCTTCTGTCAAAGACAAGCTGCAACACTTGTGTAACTCCATTTTTACTCACTTCTTTCTTTCGTTAACCCCCTTTTTATTCTTCTTTCACCCTCATGTATGTGTCTTGGTGGTATCAGGTAAAACCACAACTGTGCAGACACGCTACACGGTCATGTCCGGGGAGACACTGCACAAGTACCCTGAACTGGCAGTCGAGGGTTCCCCAACCATCAAACAACGGCTTGAAATTGCAAACGAGGCGGTTGTGCAAATGGCATACGAAGCGAGCTTGGTTTGCATCAAGGAGTGGGGGAGGGCAGTGGAAGACATCACCCATCTGGTCTACGTTTCCTCAAGTGAGTTCCGCTTGCCCGGAGGTGACCTTTACCTCTCGGCGCAGCTGGGCCTCAGCAATGAGGTGCAGAGAGTGATGCTGTATTTCCTGGGATGTTATGGAGGTGTGAGTGGGCTGCGCGTTGCCAAAGACATCGCTGAGAACAACAGAGGGAGCCGGGTGCTGCTCACCACATCCGAGACTATGGTTCTGGGGTTTCGCCCGCCCAACAAAGCTCGCCCTTACGACTTAGTCGGGGCTGCTCTCTTTGGAGATGGAGCAGCTGCCCTGATCATCGGAGCAGACCCAACAGAGGCAGAATCTCCTTTCATGGAGCTTCACTGTGCTATGCAGCTGTTCCTTCCCGGAACGCAGGGGGTGATTGACGGGAGGCTATCAGAAGAGGGCATAAGCTTCAAGCTAGGGAGAGATCTCCCTCAGAAGATCGAAGACAATGTAGAGGACTTCTGCAAGAAGCTGATGGCGAAGGCTGGCTCAGGTTCAGGTTCATTGGAGTTGAACGACCTGTTCTGGGCAGTACATCCGGGTGGACCGGCCATCCTGAACGGGCTGGAGACGAAGCTGAAGCTGAAGCCAGGAAAGCTGGAATGCAGCAGAAGGGCGTTGGTGGATTACGGGAACGTAAGCAGCAACACCATCTTCTACATAATGGACAAGGTCAGAGATGAGCTTGAGAAGAAGGAAGGCAGAGGAGAAGAGTGGGGTCTGGGATTAGCTTTCGGACCGGGAATCACCTTCGAGGGCTTTCTCATGAGGAGCCTCTAAATAACCGGAGATTTGTTACCAAAACTATCAACTAAACGTTGCGGTTCCACTGTGTACAAATAAAAAACATAGTACTAATAAAAATGACCAAATCGGGTTTCGAGACGAAAGAAATAGCCCCAAATAAATAAATGACCTTAGGAGTTTGTGATGCCTATCAACCAACATAGTTGCTTCATTCTTACACATAGTTTTCCCTTTGGTATACAGAACCAACCCCTTTTGTTTTGGTCGCAATAGAACCAACCCTTTTTACTTTTAATTATTCTAGCAAAACAACAACATACGTAACTCACTGACACTGGTAATTTATCTTTTGTTAAAGCGTGGTGTGTGGAAGTGTAACAACAAATAATTCTGAGTCACATTTAAGCTGCCAACAAAACATTCAACAGCTAGTAAGCAGGGAATTAAAACAAGGGGCCTATGGATGGTTAACTATTCAAGTACCATGTCCCCACTTGTCCATTACGTGACTACTAGAAAAGTTTACATAACAAATACTACTTTTTAAGAAAGAGAAACACACATATCTAAATTTGATAACTGCAATCACACAGATTTGGGATGAGCCAGCGTGTTCCAAACTGCCACGTCGATGATACTCCGACGGCCACCGTCCGGTCCACAACAGCCGCAGATATCCACCCCATGTCGTATGACCAACACTTATGATTTCATGACCTTGATTCTTGATGATGATGATATGTAATGTATAATAGAAGTGGCCGGCCTCAACATAATTATCACATGTTTGTGTGTTGCAGGTTGGACTACGAGGTAGCTGAGCTGACGTGGGAGAATGGGCAACTGGCCTTGCATGGCTTAGGTCCACTGCGAGTTCCGGCTCCCTCCACAGGGGCCGGTGGAACGTTGGAGTCCATAGTGGACCAAGCCACTCGCCTCCCTCTCCCTAAGCGTAAGGCTACGGATGAGCTCGTCCCATGGTTCCACCACCGCTCATCCACGGCCATGGACGCTCTTGTGCCCTGCTCCAACCTCCAGGAGCCTGCTCGTGTTGGCTCGACCCGCGTGGGATCTTGTAGCGATGGCAGTTCCATGGCAGGTGGGAAACGAGCCAGAGTGGCGCCCGAGTGGAGCGCGAGCGGGAGCCAGCGCCTGACCATGGACACATACGGTTTCACCTCAACATCGCTTGATGATAACTCCAGCTCCAGCGGAAAGCCTTGCACCAAGACTACCACCGTAGACGACCATGACTCCGTATGCCATAGCCGTTCACAGGCAATTCATTACATCCATCTACATAATTATGGCTTTATATATATATATATACACTAATTTTTTAT